AAAAAAAAAAAATGTTTGATTTTAATCAGTCAAAATGCTCCTCAGAAACGTAGTAGCTATTGATACTTCTTTCACTAACTTACTACAGCTTATTTTTAGTTGTAAATCATTTCCTATTGCCTGGGCTAGTGCAGAGTAAATACAGCCGTAACTGATAGAAGCTATTTTCTTGTTTTAAATTATTAGGTTACAGATTATGCTATTGCCAGGCGCATAGTAGACTTACATTCAAGAATTGAAGAATCAATTGATCGTGTCTATTCCCTTGATGATATCAGGAGATATCTGCTCTTTGCAAGACAGTTTAAACCCAAGGTAACCAGCCTTTTTGTACTGATATAAGTCATACTGTGGAAATTAAACAAATTTAGTGGCATTAAACAAATTAAGTGGAATTTAAGCAAATGTGTTATTTGGAAATTAACTGAACCTGTAATCTACCTAAAGCATTTGGGTTTGGGGAGGGGGAGTTGTTTGGTTTTTGTTTTGTTGAGATAGTCTCACTCTGTTGCCCTAGTAGCTACAGTGCTGAGGTATCAGTCTTGCTCACAGCAGCCTCAAACTCCTAAGCTAAAGTTCAAGTGATTCTCCTGCTCAGCCTTCTTAGTAGCTGAGACTGTAGGTGCCTACCACAATTTTCTGTTTTTAGTCAGTTTTCCAGAGTCCTAGCATTACAGGTATGAGCCACCACATCCAGCCTTTTCTGCTATTTGTTTCTTCAGAGAGAGTTGAATAAAGGAACTTTTTTTTTTTTTTTTTTTTTGGAGACAGTTTCAAGCTGTCGCCCTGAGTAGAGCACCTCAGCATCATATATCATAGCAACCTCCAACTGGGGCTCCAGTGATCCTCTTGCCTCAGTTTTCTTTTTTTCTTTCTTTTTTTTTTTAAGTAGAGCCAGGAGTCTCACTTTTGTTCAGGTGGGTCTTGAACTTATTAGCTCAAGCAATCCACCCTCCTCAGCCTACCAGAGTGCTAGGATTATAGACGTGAGCCACCGTGCCCAATCTGAATAAAAGAACTTTTGATTTTTTTATTATTAAATATTATTTATATATTTTTTTTAGACAGTCTCATTCTGTTGCTCAGGCTAGAGTGCTATGCTATGACCATAGCTCACTATAACCTCTAACACCTGGGTTCAAGGGATCCTCTTATCTCAGCCTCCCAATAAGCTAGGATTATATGTGTGCACCATCACACAGGATAATTTTTTAATTTTTTTGTAGCAGTCTTGGCTATGTTGCCCAGTGCTGGTCTTGAACTCTTGGCCCAAAAAGATCCTTCTTCTTTTTTTTTTGCAGTTTTTGGCCAGGGCCAAGTTTGAACCCTCCACCTCCAGCATACCTTTGAGCCACAGGCACCACCCAAGAGATCCTTATATTAGCCTCCTAAAGTGAAGGATTACTGGCATCAGCCACTATGTCCAACCAGACCATTTTTTAAAATTCTGAATAATTTCATGTATTTAATTTTTTAGGTGCTAATGAAAAAGATTTTTATGGGGGAAGGGTATTAGATGACTGAATAAACTAGGATATCCTTTTATTTCAACCATTACTACTAAGAATCTTAAAATTGTTCATGTGTCTCGATCAGTACTCTATTGAATGTTCTTGAATTTTCCTACGAGAGAAACATGTTCTTCTAAGTCACTGTGATGAATATGGATTACTATTTTTTAGTAATTGAAATTGATGTAGTATATTGGACTGAATATACTACATCAGGATACTTGTCCATAACTGGACATTTATTTTTAAAAATAAACTTCCATAATGTGCATGTATGTGTTTTGTTGCTTGACATTTTCCTAAAATAAAATATGAAAAGGAAAAAATTTGTTTGATTCTGGTTGAGGTTTTTGCACTCTTGTCTAAGTTGATTTTGGGGAGTCATTATTAGCTATTAACCATCATCTACTTATTTGTGATACTAGTGTTGGCTCTTACTCTCAAATATGAAATTTAGTCATCTAAGACCAGGTGCGGTGGCTCACACCTATAATCCTAGCACTGTGGGAGGCCAATGCAGACAGGATCACTTGAGTTCACCAGTCAAGACCAGCCTGAGCACGAGCATGACCCTGTCTCTAAAAATAGTCTGACATTATGATGGGCACCTGTAGTCCTAGCTACTTGGGAGACTGAGGCAAGAGGATCGTTTGAGCCCAAGACTTTAAGGTTGCTGTGAGCTGTGATGCCACAGCACTCTACTGAGGGCAACAAAGTAAGACTATCTCAAAAAAAAAAATTTTTTAGTCATATACCTAAGGACTGTGGGAGACTGTGTAAAAAGGTATTTCTGTGACTACATAGTTGTCCCTTGGCATGCTTTCTTCATATACTGAGTTCTTTGCTCTGAAAAACTTAGGATCCTTTGGTTTACTGAAATAGCTAAGAAAGGAATGTTTGTGTATGTGCGTTGATCTCTTTTTTCCCCGATATAGAAACATGAGTTAATTAATTGAAGTACAGAGAAAGTCTGAGCATTAATTTGTTTGATGAACATGAACTTATATTCTTTCAAAGGGCATTTCAGTAGTAATTTATTGTTACTAGGTTCTCAAAGTTTCAACCCTTTTCAGTTTCCCAAAATGTTTCAACCTGTAAGGTTCTTTTTTTTTTTTTTTAATGAGACAGAGCCTCAAGCTACCCCCTGGGTAGAGTGCCGTGGCTTCACAGCTCACAGCAGCCTCCAACTCCTGGGCTCAAGCGAGTCTCCTGCCTCTGCCTCCCAAGTAGCTGGGACATCAGGCACCTGCTATAACGCCCAGCTATTTTTTGGTTGCAGCCATCATTGTTGTTTGGCGGGTCTGGGCTGTATTCGAACCTGCCACCTTAGGTGTATGTGGCTGGCACCTTAGCCACTTGAGCCACAGGTGCCGAGGCCACCTGTAAGGTTCTTAAAATTATATTTAACACAGCTCTCATGAAGAAGAAATATTTCTCTAATATGTTTCTGAAACAGATTTCCAAAGAGTCAGAGGACTTCATTGTGGAACAGTATAAACGTCTCCGCCAGAGGGATGGTTCTGGTGTAACCAAGTCTTCGTGGAGGATTACAGTGCGACAACTGGAGAGCATGATCCGTCTGTCTGAAGCTATGGCTCGGATGCACTGCTGTGATGAGGTATCAGAGTCACTTTGACATGATGAGGGCAAAGAGAAATTGATTTGTTGCCTTGTAGGCATGTTTTTATCTTTGGTATGGGACATACTAAAATTAACCGTGGATTTATTTTTATAGCTATTGCGTGCTTATAGGATCTCTGACCCTGGGATTTTTCCCTTTAAGGTGGTTGCTGTCAAGCTTTTATTGAATATAGTCCATTCATTCAAGAAAAATGTACTTAGATCCCACAATGTACTGGGCCTCTGGGCTGGGGATACAGATAAGATAATGTAGCCCCGGGCCTCAAAGGAACCCTCTACCCTAGGTTTGTATAAAGTATGGTTTTTAAACTGTTCTTTGAGCTCTAGGTTCCACGAGTACAGGTCAGTGGGTACTAAAGCAGTACAGAAGGGCATTCACGCTTTCCATCTCTGTTTCAACCTAAGTAGCCCTGCTTTTCTCTAGTTTCATATATTAGATTTCATGTAAGCTTTTCTTTGAAAAAGGGGATTGGCTTTTTTTTTTTAATAGTATAACTGAAGTATAATTTTATATGGAGGAAAATGTACAGCTTTGTGATAATTTTTTTTCTTTACATGTATACATGTGACAAGATACAAAACATTTCCAGAGGCTGGACGTGGTGGCTCACACCATTTCCATCGTTTCTGAAAGTTTCCTTATGCTCCTTGTCGATCTTAGCCCTCTACCCCAAAAGGAAGCTCTATCTGACTTCAGTCACCATTTTTGTCCCATACATAAGTGTTTG